CTATGTGATCACATGCAATTGATAAAATTCTTTGAATTTTTAAGAAAATCAGTTCTGTGCAAATTTAAAACAAATCTTTAAAAATTCATTTCGTCGGGAACGCAGTGATAATTCTTCGGTCCAAGTTATCGTAGATCAGGGTCACAGAATAACATACCACATTATCTCTTCCATGGATGCCAACTGGTGAAGAGAATTGCTTTTGTAAAACAATCTTACTCTCACAGGATCTATGAGGCTTTGAGATATCGGGGTAAAGAAAGGTGTCTTCGACCATTTTCCAAATGGTAATTTCCCTTGCCGCCAGGAAAAAACTTTTCCCTTGCGCCGTTGAGTACAAGTGACTGGCTCTGATATGATCTTTCACTTCATCGTCGAGTGTATAACCATATCTCCAACCCCTTGTTGGTTCTGACATCTCGCTATAACGCTCCCTTCAGCTAAAATTATGTCTTTTACCTGATCACAAGTTTCCGTCGTTGAATTCCATGCAAAAGAAGTTCTTGAGCTCTGTTCTTGAGCTCTCTCAATTTAGAAAACGTTTTATCAGTGAAAATAAGCGGAAACTAGAGGTTAAAATCAGCCAATGAAATCAACCGAAAAGCCAAAGGGTCAAGGATGCGGGAGAAATTAAAATTCACATGCAAAACTGACCAATTAGCAGCAGTTTAATTTTCTCTTGCACACTTTCTGCAACGACACTGTTTGCCCTTACCTTCAATTTGATAGGTACGTCATGTATGGGGATTTATTATGTCCTAACACTTTCAAAAATCAAATATGGCGTCCCTTCCCTTCGTGGGAACTTTAGATTCAGATGACGATGTAGACCAGTTGGACAACGAAAGCGATAGCGAAGAAGATAAAGAAAAGGTATTTGCCATCAGACTAAAGATTGCTCTATGTGAAATAATGTTTAAGAGTGATGAATTTGGTTTGTAGTCTGTTAGGAGAAGCAGAACTCAGAAGAAAGGGAGTTCGTCATTTGATGATGACTTCCAGTTCATTTCTGGAGAGGGGCTCGAAGATGGCAATGAAGACCCGTGGAATCTAGATGCAGCCATTAGATTTGCAAAACACAAAGAAGACTCGGTGAGTTGATAATCTGAACTTGAGAACCATCAGAAGAGCTGGTAATTCTTTTCGATCTGGTTCGACAGCGAACACGTGCTCAGTGTGCCCTCGTGTTCAGGGTTATGCTGTATAAACAACATCTGAGTCATGTCGTTTCATTTGACTTCACTTTCATTTTGTGATGGATTAATTTATTTCCTGTCCTTTATTATTATTTTAAGCTGAAGTACAGTCAAGTTGGAATATATTATGTGGCGAATGAAGTTTCGTCGATTGTTACTGTATTATGATTGAGGTCATGTACTGTCTTTCAGTGTTAATTAGACCTGTCTACATCGAGAGGTGTATCTTCAGTTTTGTTGTCTCACGTGTCTTGCACAACAAATGCAGTGATAAGAATAATGATGAAAATTATTCATAATTATTGTTTGTAAAAATTAATATTCCCGCGAGTAGATGATGCTCAGCTCCGTGTACGGATTGATTTCATTGCTTGAGGGACTACAGTCTGTTTATTTGTTTTGTTTTGTTTTTTTTTTTTGTTAGAATAATAACTCATCAAGCCTTCAAGACAAAATAGTGAAGAGAAGAGAGTTGAAGAAGCAGGTATGCCTTACAGTTGCTGCTTTATCTAAGGATGACTGGGGTAAGGGGAGAAGGCCTTTTTTTTTTTCACCCTTCCACTCCCAGATCTGTCATGTATTTATTTAAGCAATATAGCACGTTTTTCCAGGCTTTATAACAAGATAAAACCACATGGAAAATTGGGAGAACACTTGAAAAGCTGAAGCCAAATTATTTTTAAGCTTTCTGCGTATTTTCCCAACATCCCAAGTGGCTTTATCACATAGAGCCCGTGGAGAAAATGCTTTCTATTATTGCTTTGATGATGTAATTAGTTACATGTTGTGGGCTCTATTTAAACATGAGTGTTTCTGTCGAGGAACTATTGGCTGATAGTTGCCCCATGGAAATTTGATATTCTCAAAACAAATATGCTAGTTTTAAGAACTTCAAATTTCCAAGGGGCAACTATCAGACCGATGGTTCCAAGACATAAACACTCTATTGTCTTTATTGTTCACCACTAAATTTTCTTCCGTACGCCAATTGAAAAATAGTCAAAACCCACTAAATGCAGATCAATCAAATATTTATTCATGTGTACAGCCTGCCACAAATGTCAATAATTTACAACCGTACATTGGCTTTGTTCTCATTTTTTTAACCGTTATGTTAATGATTGGAACTCGTTACCTAATTCTGTTATGTCGGCTCCTAGTTTAAA